TACAAATTGGAGGAGGAGCTCGGCTGAAAATCGGTTGCACAGCACCAACCCGAGAGGTTTTTTTTGTTGATGAGCCTTCAATTCAGGCAAGAAAAAGTCATTAAGCATGTCACTGTAGCGTCACCCATTGACTGTAACATTAGGAACAGCTTCTGTTTTGAAGAAATATAGACCCTCTGTGCAAACGCTATTCAACCAAATATGAGCTCCGTCGCTGAACAAAATTTTCATTACAATTGAAGCAATAATCTCACGACATATTGAATCAGTAAATGTCCTTATAAGCAGAAAAACAGTAGTCAAAGTTACCGAGAGTAAGCCGTTTAATATACTCGTACATGTATACTGTGTTCTAGGACAAACAAAGGCATTATGGGTAACGAAATAGGGCTGTGCTTTCCTTTATGGTTCCAATACTTTTTAATAATAATATTAATAATTGCTTTATGTACAAAATAATAGGGTAAAAATCCAATTTCTTTTGCAATTTCAACTTTGAATATCACAAAATCTATAGGTCTCCGGTAGGTTTAGATTTTGGTTCCTGAGAGAGGGGAGAACCCCCTATAACTCATTTTTCCCAAAGCCTGGTACCATAAAGGAAAAGTATCTCCGCAAAACTACCAAGATCAGCTGCTATATTACCGTTACTGGCTCCCACGATAATATAAAGATTGCAGACATATTTTAGCTTAATAACGGACCACAAGCTATTGTCAGGCAAGAAGAATGGTCATTAGTAGTAGTGACACTTGTAGGAAGTGCAACGGGGAATGCCGAAGTTGGATGTTAGAACCCCTTCTTTGTTTCTGTCCGACCTTAGCTATAAGACATCTTAGATACCTCGGACTCGCGCAGCTCAAAGGCCTAAAAGAGTCTTCAAAATTAGATATTTAGGAACATCATGAAAGACGTTAACGATGACTACTCTAAATCTCAATAAAACGAACGTTTATTTGGCACAACAAACGGCTAATGAGTCTGGGGCACATCAGCCGCCCAGTGTAACCTGATATTTATAATCTTGCCTATGTAAGTCATGGCGAAGCGAGGCGTTTTTAATTTACAATAAAAATAAATAAATAAGTCATATACAAATACACACTTACAATCGTTCCTCATTAAAATATCTTTAAACAATTTCATTGAGAGAGTTCTATTAAAGCGCTTGAACTTTTCTTCCCCTTCGATTGAAAGGTGACGTGCCCTTGTTATATGTGGATAGAGGTCTTTTAAATATGCTGAAAATTTATATGAAAATTATTTTTAGTAAGAGAGAGTATTTTATATTATAAAATATATATACGAGTATACTGTAGACTAGTTTTGTCTGCAGTGACATATGTATATATTAAACTTTAGATCTGAACAAATCATTTGGAAGGGCTATATGACATAGTCTTCTTCTTAGATGATTTATTGAAGTATTTATGAGCCAAACTGATATATAATATATTATAGTTTGTATTTAAACAGACGGGTGGACAGACAGGCGAACCTGGCTTAATCGACTTAACTCGTCGTTATGATCCAACTGGTATAAATTTTGATAAGGCGGTCAGGGTTCGACCAACATCCAAAATTATAGAAACTTAAGTTTTGTAATTGTAATCGTTCTTTGGCGGGGAACGTCAAGCCATCCGAGTGTTATTTTGTCACGAAACAAAAGCTCCTCATAAAAATCCACCAGTCGTTCGGAAAAAGTATCTCTGAATATAACATTGTGTGAAGCTTCATAAATTCTGAAATTCTGTCTTGCCGTGCCATTTGGTTCGAAATGCGAAAAACAAATACATACATATGTGTATTGACCAAAAATAGTAGGACTACATTAAATTCAATGTTTCATGATACAAGTCTTTTGGGACATTTTCGCTTGTAGGAACTCACAACTCCTAAAATTTCTGAAGAGTAATGAAGAAAACGTTCTTTTAAGCTCATTTCCACATTTTTGCACTGTTTTTTGTGATTTTCTGAAGTCCATATTTACTTTTAATGTGATTCGCTCTTCTTTTCATGTCAAGGTTGTGATGAATTGTGCCATAACCATAAGCAGTCTAATATTGGGTGAAACGAAATCGCTATTTTTCAGCTTTGCCTCTGAGAGGCCAGGAAAGTTTGATATTAAGTGTTTGAAGAAATTACTGTCTCTTTTTGCAGTTACATAACTTTTTAAGTAAGTCAGATAAGTTCTGGAAATCATTTGCCCACCGTTTTTCATTACCACTTTGGCAGTATGATTTAATAGAGGGGATGGAATAGGTCAAATAATTTTGAAGCTGCAAAGAGTTTAGCTACATCTCTACAAGTCTGGAAATAATTTTTAATGGCAATTAGAATGGGTTTGTGAACTCCGAAAATAATTCGATTAAAAAATAATTATTATTTGAAACATCACAGTAGACGGACACCCAGACATCAAATTGAAAATTCGCAACGATTTTTTCATATAATTTCGCTAGTAATACCAAGAGCATGATGATCAAAGTCTTTTAGCGTAATTATAGGAATAATTCAATTTAATTGCCAGATTTCTTTAAAATAAAGTTAACCTAGAATTTTTTTAATTAAAGTAAAACTATATGTTTTAAAAAAGGTTTAAGTTCAGATAACCATTATTAGCGGTATCGTTTATTTATTTTCAATGAATTTTTCTACTTACGAGAGTTTTCACATTTTGCCAAGTGACGGCTTCTTTCGTTATCAAATCTTTTTATGAGAACCTCATCTAAATCTTCATCAGGATGCGCAATTCTTGAACTATCATCGGTTTCACCATAAATTTTCTTTAGACTGTTAATGCTTATAATGGTCAAGGATAGTGACAATCTATAGAGGTAAATGTAAGGTACTTGCTTTAAATTTGTAGGTATGCAACCATTTCATATAAGAGATCGATTTTCTGTTCGAAATTCTTTTATTTGGTTGAATTCCTAGAAAACATACTTACGCTGACAATATTATCATTAGTATGAGTAATGTAATTAATAACAGTGTTAACCATTTTGAATATTTGCACGGCTCTGTCATATAATCACGTCGTCTGAAATATAATATCAGGATAATAATACTGAAAATAAAGAATTGCAAACAGAAGTCTTTTTTAGGTTAGTTGTGAGTTGGTTCTAACAAATTTATAATTATAGAAAGACAGTCTGAAAAAATGCAAAATTTTGCTCAAAATTATTATTTCATGCATTTTCTGTACATTTTCCAATTATAAAAAAACAAATTAAATCGATTTTGAATCGTTTTCTTCTCCTCTCGTGAAGTTCTTTCATTTGAATGCATTTCAATGAATCTTACAACATTTATGTGCATCAAAAAGTTCATAAATAAGACAACAATAATAAATACTTACATTGACAAAAATACCAAAAAACATAAGACAGCCAGCACTATAAGTATCGGGAAAACAGGAAATAATTCAGCGAATTTATGTTGTTTCGTTTTTGGACCGTATGAATCATCTTCTATGTAACCTTAAAGAGATAAGTATCAAAGTATCATTAGAAAAATATTCCGTGCGTCAAGTAGACTACGCCCCTAATGTGGATGAGCGGAAAGTAGGCACCCTTGGGAATAATAATGAAAACAAACGGGAACGGATTATGAAAATCCAGAAAAATGAAAAAAAAAATAAAAAAAAGTATTCATAAATACAATAGTATTTTAATTATAATATATGCATAATGATAAATGAATAATGACTATCGCGCCTCGGTTCGTACGTCGTTGTTTATAGCCATAACTTTGAGGTCGTAGGTTGGCATCTCCAATTGACATCAAACAGCGAAAAAAGGAGATGTTATAAATTGGGCTATAATCGTGTAATCGATGTCTACGCCAGTAAAGTAAGTAAGTAAATTAGTAAATTTAATATATTTATGTTAAAAAAATCAATTAATTATTTAATAAACAAAGCAAATTAATATATATAAACAAGTTTATTTATAAATAAATATAAATATTTAATTAAATACAATTTAAAGAATGAGAAATAAATAAATTAATAAAGAAATAAATATATGGCGCTCTATTGTTAATTCGGCTACAATCGCGTTTGTGGTGGCTAAATCAAAAAAGAAGAAGAAGAATGTATGAATAAAAAAAAACTAAAAATTCATAAATTTAAAAGATATATAGATAAAATAAAAATTAATGAATGAATAAAAAAATAATTAAAAATTATTAATAAATTTAAAAAATTATAAAAGTTTATTTAATAATACAGAACAAAAAATGAGAAAATAAAAAGCCAAACGATCAATAATTAAATAATAAATAAATAAAAAGGCAAACTCGAAATGTAAAATCATATGTTAATAAGTATTCAGCTAAAGGCCCAGTAGCTATAGCTCCCAAACAAATAGCTTATAAGATATCCTAAGCTATATTTAATATAAAAAATAATAAATAATTAAATAAGTTAATTTATAAACAAAATTTATTGATTAAATTACTTAGCTAAAAATAAATAAAGAAATAAAATATAAAGTGAAAAAATTCTTAACGAATAAATATATGTATATAACATGGAAATAAATAAATAAAAAGTAAATAAATAAACAATAAATAAATAAACAATAAATAAATAAAAAAAATTAAGAATTTATAAATAAAAAATAGCAACTAAAAACAAATATATAAAAAATATTAATTTAAAAATAAATAAGTAAAATAATTAAGTATTTTATATACAAATGATTAAGGAAAATAAAAATAAATAAATTAATAGATAAATAAACAAATAAATAAATTAAGAAGTAAATGAAAGTAAATTAAAAATAATATAAACTAATAATAAACAAAAAAAAAATTGAGAAATATATACGATATTTTAAAAAAAGTAAAAGAATTAAATACATAAATTAAGTATGTAATTAATAAAAAAGTCGGTGATAAGGAATTAAAAATATATAATAAAAAAATTTAACAAATATATGAAAAAAATAAAAGTAAAGTCTGAAAAAAACAATTTCCAACTCTAGAAGCGTTTTTGAAAGAACAATCAAAATAGAAAAGCTATTGAAATGAATTTTATTTTTGAGAAAATTGTTTACGAATGTAAGCAAAGACAGGCCCATTCTTAAGCCAATTTTAAAAAATTTGCAAAATTGATTGCGCTTGCAATTTTCAAAAGAAAAAAACCGTGAAACCCAATACAAGAAACAAGAAACATGCCGGAACTCATCTAAATCCACGATTAAGCTTTTCCAGTTTTTCGCTCGAACTGCATAAATCGTGAATAGATCTCACTCATGCAATACAGGCAGCTGCACTTAATGGATAACAATTATTTTGCTCTATCAAGGAATTACAGTCTTTGGAGCCTTACCTGCGGGTAATGTACCGGTGCCAAAGAAATCCAAAAATATTTGTGTTAAATTACTTAACTTTGGTAATTGCGAGCAATTTTGATTTTTTAAAGACAACGACATATTCACCTAATTCATACTTAAATTTATATTTTAAACTAAACAATATATTAATAATGATTTCTGTTAACGAACACAAACAAAATTTATAAAAATTTATGATAACAAAATATTATTTGTGAAATTGTAAACGAAAAAAAAAATATTTGCCTGACGTTAGATATATTTCTCTCATAATTTTTTCTTTGTTGCTTTTTGCTATTCAAATCCGTAGCAAGGTTTCTATTAAGCAGAAAACAAAATAATAAAAAATACTAAATTGAAATTGTATAAAAACATAGGAAGTGATGTAACATATTTTTGAAAACCAAATTTGGTTTCTTACTGAAATCCAGCACTTAAGAAAGGTGATACAATAAGAAGATGAAATCATATATACCCTTGAAATCACTTAACTATTCCTAATAACCTCCACTATTTATTTTTCCCATAGGCGAGGAGTCGGTATTGTGCACTTATACCAAAAGTTTTTGCTGAAGAACTTATTTGAAGATTTTAGAGGGAGAATATGGCATGAAAGAATATTTTTACGGAAGCCTTACGGAAGAGTTTCAAAACGTCAAGGCTCAAAACCTCAGGACTTACGAGAGGATTTACCAAATTCGGTAAGTTGACCAATAAAAACAATTTTTGCATTTATTTATTTTAAATTTCAGCAGAGCTGCAGTGACGGCATGCGTAGAAGATTTTGGTCAACCTTCTAGGGCCTCGCCCTCTATGGAATATTTGGAACCACTTAGAAATAATATTTAAAGACGGTGATATCGTTACATATGTAATTCGGTATTCACTGACTATTTGTATTGGCTGTAAAGGAGATTCACAATTTTGGATATTATTTAGCTCTTTTCTACAATATATACCTCAAAATAAATATTATGATCTCAAAAATTCTAAAGACAAAAATAGAAAAATTGCCACTAGAGGGTGTTTTTCGAGTGAGTCGAATATTCGGTTGACATAATCACTCGGCAGAGTCAGAGAGATGCCACTGCCGCTATGAAGCAGAATGTCGAAAAAAAATCGGATGAGTCTATCCGCCATCGCCGCAACAATTGAAGTTGTGCCCATCCAAAGAATATTGATTTGTAGTCTTAGAAAATCCAACATACGAAAAAATATAAGACGAACGACGATAAAAGCGTTGCACATGGTGTGAATGGACCCAAACCGAGATGGCGACTGATCCTGATGCTTGCAGTGACTACGGAACTATGTAAATAGAACCATGAGTAATGACTTTTTGTGACTGCATTGGAGGATGTTGATGTGGACGATCTTTGGTTCCAATAAGACGGCACTACATGGCATACAAGCATTTATTTAAGGAAACTTTTGGTGGGCATAGGCCTGTAGTATGATCTCTGAGATAGTGCGCTTTAACACCGCTGGACTATTTTTATGAGGTTATGTATACGCAAATAAGCAATTGAAGTCTTGAAAAATAATATTCGGTGCGGTATTGCTGACATACGGTAGCAAATGATGCGAAAGTGGTCGAAGAGTGGGTCCCTTAGCTGGATTTCATTCGCTCACCTGTTTGAAATCATTTTTAAAATATTATATAAAACTCTTATGTTCAGAATTAAGCTAAATGTTTGGCATTAACAATAAATTATATGCGTTTTATTTTTTATTGAAAGCCGAATGTCTAAAAGAACCCTTATACACAGGTATTTAGATTCCCAAAGCAATCCAATGCATTCACTTGGAAATTCATTTTAGAATTTTCTGCTAAAGCAATGACCATAGGATGGACGGACAATGGATTTGATGCCTCTACGCGCACATGCACCTCCAATACTCGCGTTTTTGTTATTGAATGAATGATAGCGAACGATTGAATGAATATCTGATATTGCAGTTTTGCTGAATTATTGAAAAATGGAGGGAATAAAGGGAGGGATGCAAATCGTGCTACTGAGGCGTTTGCCGGCCGTTTACATACCTACAAAAATTATAAGGAAATCAATTTTCATAACAAAGGAAATTTATGACGTATAAATGTAGGAAGAAAAATATTAATATAAATTCAAAAGAGCAGATATTTATATAATAAAAACCTAAAAGTTTTCTTTCTGTGATTTTGTAAAATTAAAATTATATTAAATTTGGAGCTAGATGATGGAGTTCGTTATAAGTAACTTTTTGTATTTGAATATAATAGAAATTAGTTAATTTTATATAATATTTTATTCTAAACTCTTTGCTTAAAAGCATGATAAGAACGAAAATCATTCTCATAAGTAAAAAAAATCCACCTTTTATAGACAGAATCTTCGTGCGAAACTTTGAAACCAACTCTACTTTTTTTCTTTTCCAGCGCCTTTCTTGAAAAATAATAATGTTCGGGAAGGATATTGCCTATGAATTGGAATTTCGATGAAAAATTTCCACCTTTAGGTTAAAATAATTTTTGAAGTTACATAATAGACTTTAATTTTGAGAGCAGTAAGCGATCTTGGGTCATTTAAGGAAAGGAAGATTAATTGGAGCTACTCCGACACATTCGGTTTAAGGTTTTGCCAAGCGGCCTAACGAGGTTATGCGCTGTCAGCTCCAAAGAAAAGTTGAGCTACGCCTCAGATACTCCACTTTTGAGGCTTACCACCTCAAACGTATTGAGGACTATGCCTAGTTGCTAGATACCCTTGTAGGACTAAAGGCTGAAGGCTGAAATCATCGCCAACATCTGGCTCCAATAATGATCAAGTACACAACGATTCTGTGCAGCAAAGAACTCCCGTTAACAAAAACAAGGAAGACTCGACGTCGATAATTTGCAATCACAAAAAACAGCGGAACGGTTTTCCACTCAATTAGCTTTTCTGCTCTCTTAGAGAGCTCATCCTGAACTCGGTATAAGGGAACAATGATATCTGCTTTCAGCTGCAAACGAGTCCGGAGTCGGTGTTTTAAGCTAGGTTTTTCGTAGGATTTATAGTATTTTTCATATTGAGAATGGCGAACGCCGCAGCCGGTGGAGTGATGAGTTGTTCAGATGTAAGGTTACAATAACAGTTCAACGAATCAGGACAGCGGCTACACTTGCTGGATCATGTAATCCGGATGGATAATTATTACAGCTCTGAAAGTTACAGAAACAAAGAAGATTATATTGTCAAGAGCTGGATTTGCTGAAGGAGCAGATTGAGGAGTTTTGTGATCATTTTCAATTAGAAAATTTAGTTTGTAACAATTGGCACGTGGTAATTGCCTCAGCTTTGTATAAACATACATAAAAGTATGTGTACTCAAAATTCAGAGATATAATTTAAAACCAACTATTTCGACTACTCAAAAAAGGTTCAATAAATATATTATTCTTCTTTGCCAAAACTCATGCTAAGTTGATTTTAAGATGTTAACGTAGTATTAGTATTATGTTAACGTAGTATTGTTAGGTAGGTTAATGAATAACATGGAATATCGCAACACCAAATAAGTAAATTGAGTTGATTTAAGTAGTTTGATTTGAAGTCGCGTAAAACAATAGTCGAATTAACTAAAAGTGTTGCATAGTAAAAAAATGTACTATTGTAAATGGGCCAGAGGAGAAAATTTTCGTTGGACGAAAAGTTTGTTTTTGGGAAACACCAATTTAACTTCTAAAATCAGGCCACTTCAAAATGTAACATTTAGTTATTATTTTTACTAAATACAAATAACAACTCCTTTTTTTTGCTTTTCCCTTAAATATTTCACAAACATGGTGTTGCAAAGTTAATGCAGTAAGGCGTTCTTTTGGCATGTCGCGGGCAACAGAAAGGGCTATTATTACATTATAAGAACCCATCAATAAAACAATTCATATAGGTTTAGATAAATACTTTAAACAAACATTGAACTAAATTTAATACTGAAGATTATGTATTCAATTTGTGCCAGGAGTCCAGAGCTTGCTACAGTATTTCTTTTAGCCCAGTAGAAATGCGCATAGGTAGAAGTAATGGCAAATGTATACCAACTGAAAGCAAAGGGAAAGACTGCACAAACTCATGTGTACATATATATGTGTTTAAAGTATACGACTGTTGTCTTATTAAATGTGAATATTATGCAAATTAGGTTGGAGGGTAAAATATATTTAAATAAATAAAAAAAATCCCCCATGAGTACAGAGGTACCTTAGTAATGGCGTCAAGTGAGTGCATGAGAGTTTTTAATTAAACACCGGCGCAATAAATTTATAGCCACATAGAATTACTTACATACATTTCATACTGTGTGTAGGTACATACCTTTACGCTGATGTACATATGAATACATATATACATAGAGATGTGTTTACATAAACATAAAACATCTTTATATTGAAGTATGCTCCTTATTGACAGTTATCACCTTTTATTTCCCGCTGTTAAAGCAATTAAGAAGTGTGAAATTTAGGCGGTTATTAATTGGGAATTATACATATATACATATGTATATATGTAATACTTGTATGTAATATACACAAGCATATGAACACACATTTATTAATTTTAATTAAAACCCGCTGAGAAGATTCTTATTGAATATAAAATTCAGAAAAATGCATTAAATCTTTATTTAAATTGATAGTACGGCCCACATAATTTAATGCTTGAAGAATATTTCATGCAAATATAGACTCCGCCTCAAACGGTTCATCCGCTTAGTCCAATTTTGGCATACTCTTTCCAAAACTCCGCCGGCATCTCACGATTAAACGCTTCAATGTTGTCCTCCAATTGAATCGGGATTGTCTGTATAGACATAATATTTAACATGGCCCTACAAAAAATAGTCTAAAGGCGTTAAATCGCACGATTTAGGAGACCATCTGACCGGCGCCGAACGTGAAATAAGATGTTCACCGAACTCGCCTCTCAATAAGTCCATTGCTACGCATGGTGTGTGGCATGTGGCTTCGTCTATTTGAAACCACATGTCATGAAAGTCAAGCTCTTGCGGTGTGAGCAAAAAAAAAAGTTGCAGATCATCTCACGGTAGGGCTAACCATTCCCAGTTACGTTACGATTCGCATCTTCTTTGAAGAAGTTCGGTCCAATGATGCTACCAGCCCATAAACCACGCCAAACTGTGACTTTTTGGTGCTCTTGCAGTGCTTCTGACTCAACTTCACTCCAAAATCGACAGTTCTGCTCATTTACGCTCCCATTAATCCAAGTATGAGCTTCGACGCTAACCAAAATATTTCTTTTTTGGTTAAATTATAGACCAAACTGAATATCTTTGACAGTGAAACAAAACACGTAACGAGCGTTAACTATTCAAACCAGTGTTAATAATGAAATAATAGCTAAAAAATCGCCCTTTATACATGTGAGACTTAACCAGAGAGTAAGTGTAATGAATATTCCTAGGCTTCAAATTTTTTTATTTAGAAAAGAGTAGTAAAGTAAGTAAAGAAATAGTAATCAGAAAATGTTAGTTTAGGGGAACGAGTTTTGAAACAAGGTGAGCAGTTTCTTCGTTGCGTTGGTCGTGTGTACTCTGATGGTATTGTTGGGCAGCAGGCATACTTAGCATGCCTCTACTCTTATTCTGAATAGCCCTTCACAATTTTTTTAAGGGTCTCACAGTGTGACTCTTTCAAGGGTTACACATATGACGTCGAGTATTTCCCACTTGGAGGTTGAATAGATTGAAGTTATTTACGAAACTCCCTCCGAGAGCCTCAGTACCCCGCTTTCTGAATATGCCTTATATATAAGGGGCTTTCAATACCTCTTAGATAATTTTAACCAAATCCAATATTCGAAAGAGATTTTAATTGCACGAGGAATTGATCAAATCAACCAAATTATGTCTATTCTTCAATTAGTTTGATATATGAAGTACAGGCAGCTTACTGCCTGAGTTAAAATTAAAAATCTCCATTAGAAGTCTAATTAGAAAATTATTTAAATAACATGCAGAAGAAGTCGTGCAAAAAAAGTTGTGCAGGTCATCGTTCGATAGCGATCAAATCCCAACTTCCCGGCTTACTATATTGAAGGTAAGAGGCATTCTGTATTGTTCTGCAAATATGTTGTTGGTATCGGTATTGGCTTGAGCACTTCGAAGTATTGACTATCCATAGAGACGTTCGGATTCCTTCGTTGTGCGCTCAGGAGAAAACAAAACTAATGCCACGGTTGTTCATATCAACATCACCAGCATGCACCAGTAATTGTTTGCTCTTTAAGAACATTCGCGTTAACCCTTCCGAGTGTATTCCGAACAAGAAATGGGGCTCCTCATAAAAAACGACCAGCAGTTCGGAGGCTGTGGGTCTCTCCATTTGTTGGAAAAACATCGATACTAAAAAACACAAATTGGAGAAGGAGCTCGTACGAAAATCACTTCAGCGGTTACGAAGCGCCAATTATATACACATACATATATATGTTTTAATTTCTCCAACTTTAGCTTGAGTAAGAGAGAAGAGCTGTCTCCAGTATTATCAATGTTTTTTGTAATTTGATTTTGACTTTCGGTGACATTTTTTATTTTATATCACCCATGCAGTGCTCTTTTAACCGGATTTTGAGCGCAAACCTTATGTCTGAACAAATTGATTGATTGAAAGCTATATGTGATACAGTCCACTAATTTCGATCATTATCAGCCAACGTTCCAACGTCCATTTCAT